GGCACACCTGGACCCTCACTTCCCAGGCCCCGGGCCACTCATCCGCCTTAGGGTGGAGCTGGGGAGGGTGGGGTGGACGCAGCCACTCAGCCAGGCCGGAGGGGCCAGGCCGGGCCGCCAATGCCAGCAGCCCCTGTGTGCCAGGCTGGGGTGGGTGATGAAGCAACAGCTGCCAAACAGGATCCTCGCAGAGATAACCAACAGGAATTTCTCCCCCAGGCCACTCAACACCCACATCTCCCTTCCCTTGGTCCAGTTCCAGATGCGTGTCCCCCCCGCCCCATCTCTCCTGAGCTCCAGAGGCCAGCGTAGTGTGCCCCGAATTGCCTGACTCTGAACTCGTCTTCCTCTAAGCCAGCGGTTCTCAACCTGTGGGTCGCGACCCCTTTGGCGGTCGAACGACCCTTTCACAGCCTTAGAGTCGAAGGGGTGCGGGCCTCCACTGTGACCAGCGAGGCTGCGGACAGGACAGCCCAGGCGAGCAGTGAACCCGCACCTTTCTCCTGCCCCAGGGACGCCCAGGGATCTTACACCACACACGGCAGAGAGCACAGGGTAGGGCGTCCGATGGGGCAAAGGAAAATGCCCTAACCAGCCTGCTGGGCGAGGGGGAAGGAAACAGGATTGGTCAACCCGAGAACAGGGCGTGAGTCCTGGGCGTTGGCATGAGAACAAGGATGCCTGCCTCCCACGCTCTTGTCCCTGGGTGGATGTGAGGGGTTATCTTATTATTATTATTATTATTATTGTTTTTATTGATTTTTAGAGGGAGAGGAAGGGAGAGGGCTAGAGAGATAGAAACATCAATGAGAGAGGAACATCACTGATTGCCTCCTGCACGTACCGCCACTGGGCATGTGCCCAGATCAGGAATCGAACCGACGACCTCCTGGTTCCTGGGCCCACACTCAACCACTGAGCCACCCCGGCCGGGCTGTGAGGGGTTATAGGATCCCTCCCCCCAGTTCCAGGGCCACCCAGGTGAGATACCCTGATGTCTCATACGGAGCCCAGGGCCAGAGCCCTGCTGCCTGACTAGGGTTGGGGTCACCCCCACACAGGCTCTGTGACCTGGGCAGTCGCCTCCCCTGCTCTGAGCCGGCTTGGTCCTCCTACGTCAGGTGCTGGGAGCACTGTCAGCACTCAGAGGGGACCCACCTGAAACACACCCGGGTAAAGGGCATGGGTGCCCCTTCCCTCCCTTGTTAGGAGGATGCCCCCAGAGAGGCACCTGAGAACCCTTGGGGCTGACTTCCAGGCACAGCTCACTGCTGCCCTCTGCAGGCCTCTCTACGTCCTCAGGGCCGAGCAAGGCCGGGCTGACATCTCAGCGGTGCTCAAATCCTCTGTGACTTATTCTTTAAAATGGGTATAATTGGAGCGGACTGACAGCTGGGGACGAGGGGGGCGGGGGCAGACTGGATGAAAGAAGGTGAAGGGATTCGCCAAAAATCATATACAGGGTGTCCCCAAAACCTGTACACTCACTTTAACAGCTGGTAACTCACTGAGTTTTCACTTCAGGTTTAACTGATGTGAAAGAATGAATGGGTGAAGCCAGACTGAGCTTTGAACAAAGAAAATTTATCCGCTAGACTTCTTATGGGGATAGATACAAGATACATTTTACAGTACAAAGCCGGCAACCGTTGACGAATCGAAGGCGCACAAATACCGAATAAAATGATTATTTTAAAAAATATATATATTTTTTATTGATTTCAGAGAGTTTCACTTCAGGTTTAACTGATGTGAAAGAATGGGTGCAGCCAGACTGAGCTTTGAACAAAGAAAATTTATCCACTAGACTTTTTATGGGGATACATACAAGATAAATTTTACAGTACAAAACCGTCAACTCTTGACGAATTGAAGGCGCACAAATACCGAATAAAATGATTATTTTTAAAAATATATATATATTTATTGATTTCAGAGAGGAAGGGAGAAGGAGAGAAAATCTTGGATCGGCTGCCTCCTGCACGCCCCACACAGGGGATCGAGCCTGCAAACCAGGCATGTGCCCTGTGTTCAGAGGTTGATGCTCAACCACTGAGCCATGCAAGCCTGGCACTTTAAACCTGTATGGTTTTGCGAACCAATGTCATCCCCCAAAATTCAATTAATTAAAATAAAATGGGTAGAAGTCCTGACCTCACAGGGGGTGGCTCATGATCAATAGCAGCTGCCTTCCCCACTGACATGCTCAGGTCACCCCGAAAGTGGGCCAGGCAGGCTTAGGCCCCGGGCCCTGGCGGTCAGCAGAGAGAATCCCCCAGCCGCAAGCTGCCTGTCCCTTGCCGATGGGCCCCTCAGTTTCCAGGGGGAATTGTGGGATCACCAGGGACATTATAATGACCACCTGGGAAACAAGAGGGTACGGGGGGGGGGGACTTCATCCGTCACTGAGGTCTTCCTTTCTCTGGTGTGCAGGCCCCGCTCAGCCCCACCTTCCGTGTGGTAGACATAAGCGGACTTCTCGCCCAAACCCTGCAGATGTGTAGCTTGGGTTTGCGGGCTCTTCCCTTGCCAAATGGCTTGTTGTTGAGCACAAGGTCACAGCGAGATAGTGGCTATCTCCCCGCAGAACGGCTTCTTCTGACCCCAAGGACACTCCTCCCATCCTCAGCCCTTTTTCTGAAAGCGCTCCCGCCTGGCGCTCTGGTCCTTTCCTGCAGGGCTTCCTTATCAGCCATCCCCTCTGGGGAGGGAGGGAAGGGCTGGGAGGGAAGGGCGGGGAGGGAGGAAGGATGAGGAAAGTGGGGCCCAGACACTGTGTGATTCCCGTCTGTCCCCAGCTGGATCTAAACTCCGGAGGACAGAGACCTGTCTCTCTTGTTACCCATGACTCCCCCGTGCTCAGCACGCAGTAGGTGCTTGGTCAGTGCTGGTGAATGAGGAGCTGACGTCTGTGGCCCCAGGGAGCACACAGCCTGGGTAGAGAGGTGCCCGTGTGTGTGGGAGGAATTGATAAGGCAAACAGAGCCAGGCGGTGGCGGAGGGTGTGTGTCATGTGGGGGCCCAGGGGGAGGCCGAGTCTGAGGGAGGTTTGCCAGGTCCTAGGACGAGGAACAGAAAGGCAAAGACAGGAAGACCAAGAAGTTCTAGGTGTGTTTAAGGAGCATCTAGGACTAGGTTAAAATTTCAGGTGCCGGTTAAAAGTGCGGATTAGCTATCCACCAGTTAAAAATTCGGATTTTGTAATTAAAAAAACACAATACTTTCAAGAGAAACATCGAAAGTGCTTTATTCAAAGTAATGTCCATGGGGAGGCCGAGTCTGAGGGAGGTTTGCCAGGTCCTAGGACGAGGAACAGAAAGGCAAAGACAGGAAGACCAAGAAGTTCTAGGTGTGTTTAAGGAGCATCTAGGTTAAAATTTCAGGTACCGGTTAAAAGTGCAGATACCGGTTAAAAGTGCGGATTAGCTATCGACCAGTTAAAAATGTGGATTTTGTAATAAAAAAAACACAATACTTTCAAGAGAAACATCGAAAGTGCTTTATTCAAAGTAATGTCCATTGCTAGCTACACATTTCCCCATCTTTCAAGTGATTTGTGGAGACCGTCCCAATAGAACTTTCCTTGTTTTGAGGCAGACCATTCAGAGACCCAGTTTCCCACGTCTTCATACGTGTTGAAGTGCCGCTCAGAAAGTGTGTGTGCCATCAATCGGAACAGGTGGTCATCGGAAGGAGCAAGGGCTGGTGAATACGGCGGGTGGGCTCATACTTCCCAGGCAAGATCTTTTCACGTGTCTTTCACTGGTTTTGAAGTGTGTGATGGTGCATCATCACGAAGCAAAATTACTTTGCCGTGTCTTCTGGCCCATTGTGGCCGTTTCACGATCAAAGCGTGGTTCAAATTGATTATTTGTTGTCCGTAGCGATCAGTATTAACGGTTTCACCTGGTTTTAGCAGCTTATAATGTTGTAATGTACCCCTCGAATCACAGAAGGATGCCTCAAGAAGTCGAATTAAAGAGTCACATTTATTGCAATCCGGACTATGAGGGGCCATTCCCCAAATCTCATAGTGATAAGATGGCCGCAACACCAGATTTATATAGGCAAAGATCACAAAGGTATTGATTACATCCCAGGGTTTGGAATGAGGAACCTGATTTGCCAAAAAAAGCAGTTTACAGAAGCAGAAGCAGCATGCTATCTAAATTATAGTTTTGGGTCTCTGGATCACTGAATGGACAGAAACACATTATCTAGAGCCCTGGGGTCTGGAATGAGGAACCTGGTTTGCCAAAAAGTGGTTTATAGAAGCAGAAGCAGTTTCATGTTATCTAAATTAGTTTTTGGGTCTCCGGAACACTGAGTCAACAGGGACACGTTAACTGGAGCCCTCTGACCTTGGGATAACTGTGCTGTCCTTCCCAGGTAAAGCAAAATGTGCTTTCTAAGACCAGTATGACCACAACCAATGGGATGGTCACAGTACAATCAATAGGGTATTCAATCGAATGGGGTGATTTATATAATTCAGAAAATCAAAGTAACTTTTCTGTTGTTAAACAAAGCAAATAAGTACAGAAGCCAAACAGCAGGGTTAAAGTTAAACTATAGTTTCTACCCGAGATGATTGCTACCATACTTCAATAATACTCCACACCTTCCCGATCCCACCAAGCGCAGAGCAGTGTCTTCTTTCCGAAGCGATTTGGCCTTGCAGTCGATGTGGATGGTTGACCTGGATCAACCCGTGATTTTGTGCGTTTGGGATTCTCAGAATAAATCCACTTTTCATCGCCAGTCACCATTCGATGCAAAAAAGACTCTTTGGTGCCGTTGAAGCAACATTTTACGGATGACTTTTCGGTTTTCCCTTTGTCTTTCGTTCAGTTGATGTGGCACCCATTTTCCTTCTTTTAAAATCCTTCCCATTGCTTGTAAACGGTCGGAAATTGTTTGCTGAGCAACATTTAATCTTTCTGCGAGTTGTTTTTGAGTTTGACACACATCTTCATCCAATAATGCTTGTCATTGTTGGTCTTCAAACTTTTTCGGTTGACCTGGACGTTCTTGGTCTTTCACATCGAAATCCTCACTTTTAAAGTGTTTCAACCAGCGTTCACAAGGATCTTGAGATGGAGCGTGTTCACCATAAGCTTCCCGAAGTATACGATCACTTTCAGCAGCACTTTTCTTCAAAATAATGATTTAAAACTTCCCGCAAATGCTTTTTTGGGGGGGGCACGAAATTTGACATTTTTAAGCGTAAAAATATCTATGATGTTAACACCTTCAGAAAATTTGACATAGGAAGTTCTGAAGCTTGTTGTCAATACAACAAAATAGCACACATATCAAATCGCATGTATATCAGCATACGTGTAACTCCATCGATTGAAAGAAATCCGCATTAGTGACCGGTACACCTGCTAGAGTCACCTGGTCTTCAGGGCTCACAGCCATCCGGCTCTCACCAGCTGCCCAGCCTGGGGCTAGGGACCCCATCGACGTGCCTGCCACCCTCACCACCACCATCTGGGCAAGAGGCAGGGGAAGGTGCTGGGACCGGAGCCCTGGATGCCGCTCCTGCCATGTGTCCTCAGGCGGGGTCCTCGGCCGTGGCTTCTCAGGATGGCAGGGCTTTCTGCCTGGAGGCCCACCTGCGGCCCCCGGAGAGCTGAGGCTTTTCCTTGTTCCTCCCAGGCCTGTCTGTACCCCCATCCCCACCCGCTTTGGGGGTCAGAGGCCAGAGCAGGACTCCCTCCCGGAGGAGGTCCACACGACCCCCATCTGTCATCTGTCAGCCACCATCCATCACCCGCTGGCCCCTGGGAGCTGCAGGCAAGATCTGAAAACGGGCGATCAATACAGCTGTTCTCAGTCGCTGTGTGGGGCACCTCCTCCAGGCTCCCGCCTCCCGCCCGGCTGGGGAGCAGGTCTCCCCGGACTTCCTGGGCCCAGGGCTCCGTGTGAGGGAGGGTGTGGGCCTTTCCTCCCAGGCCCCCTTGGCTGCAACTAGCCCGCCTCCTGCAGAATCAATTATTGATGAGGCCCTTGCAGTCGGGTGTCCCAGGGGAGTGTTCTGGCCGCCTCCCCGCCTTCATGGGGGGCGGGGAGAGGGACAGGATGAGCTTGTTCTGAAGGCATCGCCACGGAGGCGGAGGCAGTCCAGGCCTTGGCTTCCAGGGGTCAGAGGCCAGAGCACCCTCAGGCCGGGGGAGGGCACTCACCTGGGGGGTGAGGGAGCCCTGGGCTGCTTTGCTTCCGGGAGGACTGAGGGGGAGGCCAGCTCATCCAAAGGCCGTGCACCAGACTGACAGCTCCCAGAGCCGCTTGGGGCGCAGGCTCGGACAGGTGGCCGGTGGCCCTGGTGCTGGGAGGCCTCTGGGTGGGGCCGGAGTCCGGGAATGGGCTGCTCTGCCTGGAAGGAGACGGCGGCGTGACAAGCGCGGTTCCAGTCCACCGATCAGCCTCCCTCCCAGGAGGGCCGCCATATGGGAAGTGACATCGGGGCGGAGCAGATGGCAGGGTAGCCCCGGAGCTGCGGGAGGGGGTCTTGTCTCAGGGCAGCGGCCAAAGCCTTGGGCTCCCTGGGTAGCGGGGTGCCCAGTCCTCCCTGCCCCCCATCTCCAGAAGCCCTTCTCCAACAGAAGAGGGGGGCCCTCTCTGAGCTGGGCCCTGCCTGCCCCACCTTCTTCCGTCCCAGCCCTGGGCCTCCCTCTGCCGCCCCCACAGGCAGCGCCTTGGTCCTCTCCCGCCCTCTCCCTGGGCCACTGATTCTTACGCGTGTGAAGGATACAGAAGAGGGGGCCCCTCTCTGAGCTGGGCCCTGCCCCACCTTCTCCCATCCCTGCCCTGGGCCTCCCTCTGCGGCCCCCACAGGCAGCGCCTTGTTCCTCTCCAGGCCTCTCCCTGGGCCACTGATTCTTACGCGTGTGAAGGAGTGAACATGCGGATGTAACTGATCTTCTCTGCGTCCCAGCTCTTGGGTGTCCCTGCTTAGGACGCCTGGGTCCCTCTGGACAGCGAGGTTGTCTGGGAGGGGAATGGACCGGGGCCTCTGCTCCTGAGGCGCAGGCAGGGCTGGGAGGAGGGGCAGCAGACAGGCGCCGGGACCTGATTAAGGGGCGCAGGTTGGCGTGGACAGGGCCCGCAGGGCATCAAGGACACGAGCTGCCAGGCGGTGTGTGCGGACAGGGGTCGTCCTGGCTAAACAGCACACGAGCCCAGGGACGCCAGGCCGTGCTCAGCAGGAGCCGCCTGGAAGGAGCCCTCCCCGCTGTGCACAGCGCTTCCCTCCCAGGAGCGCCACCCACTGGCGGACTCCGCTCTGCATGCAAAGCTCTGACTCGTTTTTTTTGGGTTTTTTTTACAATAAGCACGCATTCCCTTTAAGAGTGATGTTTACAAAGAAGGATTTTATATCGTCATAAAAAAGAGAAAGCTACAAATGTGGCAAAGGGGAAATAAACAGCAAAAGATGCCCGTGTTCTTCCCCCAGCAACGTTGGGCAGTCGCCGCCGTGAGCACCTGTAGTGGGCGGGCCCTGCCCGGGTGCTGGGCGGCACCCCTGGGGCTGTGGGTAGGGCTGTGGGTGGGTGGGGGCATTAGTAGCCCTCCTGGAGGAGCAACCCGAGGGCATGGAGAGGGCGTGGCTCTGGGCAGGAGCTGGGGCTGGGCCTGGGCCTGCCCGGCTGGGTGTGCAGGAGGGCTGGGTGTGCAGGAGGGCTGGGTGTGCGGGAAAAAGGCTGGGTGTGCAGGAGGACTGGGTGTGCAGAGGGCTGGGGGGACGGCACGCTGACTCTGGGGGACCTCCGGGTCCTCCAAAGACACGCGGACGCCATCGCAAAGGCCCTGAGAGGCGAGTGCCCAGCGTTTCCTCATTCCCAGGCCTTCCCCGTCCCGGCTGGAGGGGGAGAGGGGTAGCGGGGGCAGCCATGGGCACTGCCAAGCCAGGGCAGAGCGGGCAGTGCCGTGCTCAAGGGACGTAGCAGCGAGTCACCCAGGAGCAGCTGGACAGTCTTTTCCCCGCAGCCCAGCGGGGGAGACTGGTTGCCAGGGGCCAGAGGGGTAGGAGCGGCCTGTTCGGCTGGCCTTGCCCACTGACCAGAGAGAGGGCAGGACCCGGGGATCCAGGAGGAGCCAGAGGCCTTCTCACCCGTCCTCCTCCAGAGAGGAGGGTCCCACGAGGCAGGCAAGGTCCCCGGGGACCCCGCGCGGCTCTGGCAGAGGGACTGGACGGGGGACCCAGAAGTGTGAGTCCTGCTGCGAAGGGAAGTCCCAGGCGGGGTGGCAGGTGGTCCTCGGGTGCCGACTCGGCCAGGCCCTGCTCACCAGGAGAGGCTGAGGGTACGCGCAGATGCTGACGTGTGCCGAGGGCCGCGGCACACGTGTCCTGTGCCTGCGGTGAGGGTTCTCAAGGCCGGACAGACGGGTGAGTCTGTAGGGGAGCCTGGCCTTCCAGGTGGCACCACGGCGCCCCCCAGTCCGGCAGTGCGGGCCCCGGGCAGCCAGAGGGCTTTCCTGCTAGAGAGAAGCAGGAGTGGCGCCTGCACAGCTACGGCGCCGAGTTCAGGCTCCACGGGCCCCCTCCGCAGTCTCAGATGGCGCTGCCCACGCGTGTCGGGAGTGGAGGCCTCGGACACAGACCCCAGCTAACAGCAGCCCAGGCCGGAGGGCCTCTCGCTCCCCTGGGTCTCGGAGGGGCTTCCCTCCATCCCTGGAAGGAGAGGAGTCACGTGGCATCAACCAGGCACCTGCAGGGACACGGGACAGGGACACGGGACAGGCCCCCACCCGACGCCCCCTGGTGCCTGCTGGTCAGAGGTCAGAGGCCTCCAGGCCTCATTCAAGGCCGGGCACGGGGACACATTCCGGGTGATGGGCAAAGGTAGGTACTAGGAGAGCCACAGCCAGGACAGACCGTGGAGCCTGGGTGCCCAGCCTGCCCGTGGGGAGACTGCCCGGCGGACAGGGCAGCAGCGAGGGGGTCTGAGCTGGCCGGCGGGGTCTGGGAGGCTGCGGGCCTGGGGCCTGGGGTC